GTTTGTTTGGCCGCTAGGTTAAACCAGATGTTTGTTTGGCCGCTAGGTTAAACCAGATGTTTGTTTGGCCGCTAGGTTAAACCAGATGTTTGTTTGGCTGCTAGGTTAAACCAAATGTTTGTTTGGCCGCTAGGTTAAACCAGATATTTGTTTGGCCGCTAGGTTAAACCAGGTGTTTGTATGGCCGCTAGGTTAAACCAGATGTTTGTTTGGCCGCTAGGTTAAACCAGATATTTTTTTGGCCGACAGGTTAAACCAGATATTTGTTTGGCCGCTAGGTTAAACCAGATGTTTGTTTGGCCGCTAGGTTAAACCAAATGTTTGTTTGGCCGCTAGGTTAAACCAGATGTTTGTTTGAAGTTAAGCACAATGCTGCACAATGGGGTATCTGCTTTGTCCACCGAAGAGAATCAAACCCCTGATTTTAGCGTTGTAAATCCGATGACTTGCTGCTGTACCACCAGAGGACTAAACCAGATGAAACAAGAAGCAACATCAATATATAAAAATGACTCAAGTTTCCCCGAATGTAACTTTATCCTACCTATTTGCAGAGTTTATCCTTTTATATAATGTATTTTAACATGTATGTTTGTTTGTACATGTAGAAATGTTTTTAACAAATTATGTCTACTTGGATGGATGTACAAACTAACGTCAACCTTCAAGATACACCAGCTTAGGGTATAAAAACAATGTTATGTAATACTCCCCTGGCACAGCGGTACGTCTGCGGATTTAAAACGATAGAAAACGGGTTTCGATACCCGTGATCGGCAGAGTACTGATAACCCATTGTTGAATTTTGTTTGGTTTGTTTCAGTTTTGAATATCGCGCAAAACTACACGAATTCTATCTGCGTTAACCATCCTTAATTTAGCAGTGATAGACTAGGGGGAAGGCAGCTAGTCAACACCACCCGCCGCCAACTCTTGGGCTACTCTTCTACCAACGAATAGTTGGATTGACCATCACATTATAACTTCCCCACGGCTGAAATGACGAGCATGTTCGATGTGACGGGAATTTGAACTCGCGATTGAGAGTTGAGCGCCCTAGCCATGCCAGGCCCACCCTGTTTTGTGGAAGGTAATAAACAATCCATTTAACTGATTAAGAACTTGTGTTTTTAAATTCTAAGTCAAAAGTCTATGAAATAAAAGATGGAAATAAGCCCTATTTCAAGATTATTTTCACCTTCTCGGGTAAAAATCCTAAAATGAGATAGCCCATGTGCACCATCAGACAGTGTCTATTTACGACACGAAAAGTACGATAGTCGAACCAGGCAACTGTGGATGATGTAAACCAAATTTTATAAAAATGTGACATATTTCAGAGCCTTTTCTATCCTACTTCTCGAGAAAAGATCCTTACAAAAATAGCCAATGTACATCGTCGGACAGTTTCCAGTTACCATTAGCTAGTCAGCTTTGGGTGATGGATGGAAACACATACACAATGGATCATCTTTGTGGTAAGATGTCATTTCCTTAGCTCCTGGCATGATGTGCACATTGGACCTGAAGTATCTGGAAGCTTTTCTTTTGAGTTACATATTTTGAGGTTATTATGCAATAAAACAACGTGTTATTTGAATTCAGAGCAGAAAAGTTACGGTCAGTTACTACACCGTAAAGATTTACCTGATGATAATTAAATGTCTGGTTAATCCCTCTTCTCATATTAAAGATTTCGATTGGAACGTCCCCAACTCCATCATCTTTAAACATGAAAATCGACTTCTTTTCATCAGGCCTTGCAGATGCTGTATGCTGAATGTACTTGTTAAGGATGAGGCGTAGTGATGGCTGACGAAGTAAATGAGGACACAGCCCCCTTTCGGCTTGACAAAACTCATTTCTGAAACGAGCTAAACCGGAAGCGACGGACAATACAGCTTGCATAACTTTTACAGCTCTGGAACTCCGCAGAGAACCAGTGCATTCTGGATCAGTACATCTAACACGTTCTTCCGTGTATTTCTGGAACCAAGGATTGCGTTTGTTTGTTTCTGGACTAAGTCGCCGGAAGTGCGTCACAAACTCCTGGACCTCTTTATAGGCTTCTCTAAAAACCAAGGAACCAGCAATGCCTTTTCCAAACTTCTCTAAGATATCTAAATCCACTCCTCCGATTCCGTTTCGTAACCAAACAAAATCATTACGAGTCACTAATCCATCAGCGATTGCTTTCTGAAATTCGGAAAAGAAAATACTGGTATGATGGTCATTTAGAAAAAGAATGACCACTGAAGCACCACGCTTTCTGGAATCCACCAGTTTTCTCATTATTTTGTTTAACAATCCAGCTTCAGTATTACCTACTCCTTCCATCGACAGTTGAACATCAATACAGATGGAAGCATACTTGGCTTCTGTGATAAATGCCTGAAGACCATGAAGACTGTCATAGTCTGTACTGTGAACAACTGTCACAAATGCCCATCCAAAGTGCATCAGGACTTCTACGATGGCCTTAGACTTCGTTTTCGCTGGTGCAGCTGTTTGTAAACTGTAAGAACTCCTTTTCTTATTGGTTGAAAGATCCACAGTGGACACACTGGTAAGGTTTAGAGGAGTTAATATAGATTCTGCAGTGACAGCTTCTTCGGGTGATGTGGCGAAGACTACAGCTAACACTGAGATAATATCAAGTTGCTCGGAGTTTTCTGCAATAAAACTAGACAAGTGCTGAGCGACTTTTAGGCTCGACCCACACGTGTCAATAACGACAGCTCCCAAACTAATCCCCTGTAAAAATCGCGGATCACTATTAATTTTGTCCAGTGTCCACAAAGCAGCCTCTAGATCATGAATAGCGTCGTTGTTAATAGCGGTGCTGCACTCTAGCGGCGAAGATCCAGGTTTGTGGATTGGTAGAAGTATAGGAACCATTAGATCTGCCTTTTGGTCTATCATTACGAACCCACTAGGCATTTCTTTGGAATCTTCCAGTTGGCCATGGCTTATTCTAGTGAAAAGGAGGAAGACATATTTACTCACATCTCTTGATATATATATATATATACCTTTTTTAAACAATAAATATCAATCTACTTAATATGTCCTATTAGATCTTAAAGTAGATACATGAGAGTTAATCAGAATCCAAAGATGAGTATCCTTAAACAAGTATGTTTTATTTTCAGCCTGAATGGCACGCTTTGCGACATATAAACGATCAAATCAGAAACCCCTAGTTTCGGGCATTGCCATCCCTAATTTAGAACTGTTGACCAAAGGGTTGGAAACTAGTCAACAACACTCACCTTCCACATGTCTACTCTTAGTCCAATGGTTTGAGGGATCATGAAATGTTTAGCACTCCCCCACAGCTGTAAGTGCAAAGCATATTCGGCGACACATTTGGGACTCGAACCTTGGACGCTAGTCACTAGGCCAAATCCTGTCATCTTAATAAAATGTATTTGATCTTTATATATTTCTACAAAATGATTCGCCCCCCCCCTTTCAAATTTTCTGAATTCATTTTTTCAATAAAAGTTTTCACCTGTGAAGAAATAGAAGCTTATATTATCAACCAGTCAGAAGCTGGGAATTAAATTATTACAAAATCTATTTTAATCTCGCTACTTCATTTGCAAGTATAGGAGAGACCTTGCTAAATATAGACAAACGGTAATTTATGATAGTTTTCATCAATAACTAATTAAATTATATAGCAGGAATCAGAACAGTTTTCCATATAAAAGTGCTGTTAAATGAATTCCTTTTTTTTATTTCACATTTTATCGTTTTCAATAAATTTGCTACATTTAGAGCAGTATGTCATAATATTCCTAACTAAAATCAACAAGATAAACACGTAACGAAGTCCCTTCCTGACACACTTTGGCTACAACGTTAGTCTAATCAAAATTAATATTAACAATACACTGAATACTACTTCAAAATAACCTACCATCTAATATATTATAAAAGATTATTGTGAACCAAGCGATGTTTGGATCAAACCGAGCAGAGATTTGGCACTTGGGGTTCCCCTCATTATGTACTCAAGGTGACACGGGGGGTTCCTAGATAATGAGGGGGAACCCCCAATGTCACCTTGAGTAGATAATGAGGGGGAACCCCAATGTCACCTTGAGTACATAATGAGGGGAACTCCCAATGTCACCTTGAGTACGTAATGAGGGGAACCCCCGTGTCACCTTGAGTACATAATGAGGTGAACCCCCCCCGTGTCACCTTGAGTACATAATGAGGGGAACTCTCAATGTCACCTTGAGTACGTAATGAGGCTCAAGGTGACATTGGGAGTTCCCCTCATTATGTACTCAAGTTAAATACTGACATTAGGCTTAAAGTAGAAGCATATTGTGATCACGAAGGACTGAGTTTTATATTGTATTACATGTTCTTATTTGATCATCTTGTATAAAAGTTGTCTTCTTGATCTATTATTGAGAGAAGGGTAATTTCTTCTAGAAAATCAAATCAGAGATTGTTCTTAAAGAGTAGCAGTAAGTGCGAGGGTTATAACGCCAACAACTGGGTTTCGATACCCGCGATGGGCACAACACAAGATAGTCTATTGTGTAGCTTTGTTCTTAATTTAAAACAACAAACAAACGGCTTGTTTAATGTAGGATAGTACTACTTTCTGACAATCAGATTTTCATTCATTAACTAAAAAGAAGATTTTGGATTAAATTACAATGTATATTTTAATCAGTTGAAAACACATTGCAAAAAGAAAAATGAGAACAGATATAGTTCTCTTCGGTGTTGTAATTCTGGTTTCTTTCCATATTCCATCTGCACGAACCAGTAAGTGTTGAAACAGATAAGTTGAAAAACACTTATAGCAGTAACTAAGCGTCAGGTCCATACCCGTCGTGCCCCGGGTATTACCTGAACAGAGGGCCGATATTTAGCTATTTATAAACAATAAGGATCAAACGAAGATCTCGTGTTCTTGACGGATGACGTCACTGTCCCTGCGATTTGCCGCTCATGCCCAATCTCGGCTTCAGGATGAGCAGCTTGTGTTTTTCATTGGCTGTCAAGGCGTATTTCCCTTTCTTGTGGCGTCTCACTCTGTCGCTTTTGTTGCATACATTTAGCTGCTAGTGATTGGCAATCAGAATTGTTTTTTTTTTCTTTTTTCTCGAC